TTTCTGCAGGCCTTGGCATCTTGTCATCAGTGCTACAGGGATGGATCTCTCCAGGAAGGTGACGATACTTTGTGTGGCTTTGTGAGACAGAGCTTTCTTTGGAAACATTAAGTTGTGAAACACTGTGCTGGGGTTGAAGAACCGTCAATAACTCAGAAACAACCACAAAGTGCTTTTGTTTGTTCTGAGGTAGACCGCAAACAATACTCAGAAGAACGAGTCAGTCAGTGTGTGTCCATGTGCGTATGCCCACACGTTCTCCTGCATGAAATGCTTATAGTTTCCACTAGCCCCACAAAGGACTTTATGATTTCAAATCTTAAGAACTAAATGTCTCAGGCTGGGCTGGGCTGTGGCATGAGCCCTACCTAGTCTCTTCAAAAACCAGAGATTCTGAGTAGGGGAAAAACCCTATTGAGGTGAATCCAAGTTAGAATCTGCCTCCATGTTGCCGGCCTTGTGGCTCTGGGCATATCCTGTGACCTCCTGGGGTCATTATCATTGCCAATAGAAGACTACTTTCAGGGTTCTTGTGGGAATAACTTAGCTAATGTGCATGTGATGGCCAACACATTCCACCTGATCATGAACTATTTTCATAAAAGTAATGAAGTATGTCATGTGAAGACTAAGAAGGCTCGTGTAGGGAGCCTACCATACATGTCCTCTGAAACACCCATCAGGAGATCAAAGCAGAGGCCGAGACTCACAGCCAACTTTGGGCAGAACCCAGGGAGTCTTACGGAAGAGTGGGAAAGCAGAGGGACCTGGAGGGGAGAGGAGCTCCACAAGAAGACCAACAGAGCCAACAAATCTGGGCCCAGGGAGGGCCTGCAGAAACTGATGTACCAACAAAGGACCATTAATGGAGAAGACCTAGGCCCCCTGCTCAGATGTAGCCAATAGGCCGCTCAGTCTCCATATGGATTCCTGAGTAAGGGGAGCAGGGCTGTCTCTGACATGGACTCTGGCACATGTTCCTCAATCACTTCTACGGGCGGGATGGTCTTTCCAGGCCACAGATGAAGAGGATACAGGCCGTCCTGAAGAGACTTGATAGTCTGTGGCCAGTTGGTAAGGGAAGAGGGTTCCCCTTTTCTGAGAACTAGGTGAGGTGGATAGGGGGGAAGAGGGAAAGGGGGTGGGGCTGAAAGGAGACAAGGAAGGGGGCTACAGTCAGGATGTAAAGTGAATAAATTTAAAAAAATATTAAAGAAGGCTTATTTACACGCTTGAACACCGGGACAAATCCAAACTCTGGCACATACACAAAACCGAAGCAGCAACCCTAACTCCAGCTCCTCTCTGTGAAGGTCTACTCACATACCTAACAAGCAGAATCTGGAGTTGAAGGACCTGAGGCAAAGGCTAGGCATGGATGGATGTGGGATCTCAGGCTACCCATTTGCTAGAGCAGCAATGAAGGCCTCTCAAGGGACAACTCCTGGCCGAGAGAATAGGTGCTCTGTCCTGGACTGGGCTAATCACCTGGCCAGGGAATCACCTTTAGGAAGGCAGACTCACCTTAAGCCTGCTAAAGAGATAGGTGAAATGATTTTTCTGTCAAGAAGACACTGTATGTATTCTCCATGGAACCACTGCTCTTACTGCAGTAGCTTACAGAGTGGTAGGCAGGCGGCTTTGTAAATCTGCCCTCCTTTCTGAATTATTCAGAAAAGCATGTTTTCATTTTCATATTTTCTGTGTTCTAAGCACACTTTCCCAATACTTTGGGCTTCCTCATCTTTCTTTCGAGTCCCTGTCCCTGCCATGTAATTGCTTGTTGTGTATGTGTCTGACCTTTGTGCTGGCTCAAATAGAGCGACTTTTCCTTGTCTCTCTTTCACTCTTATTACTCTGGGCAGCTGCTTAGATTTACAGCTTGCCTGCCCGGGGGTGCTTTTTTCTTTTAAACTCTAATAAAATTGTCTTCAAACTTTTGTTTGAGCCGTTCTTAAATTCTTCTGTTAATGAGTCTAAGAGCCCCGAGAGGAGACCCCAATCTCCTCAATATCCCGGGACTGAGGGGACCACATTACAGGAAGAGTTAGGTACAGAGAGTCCAAGAAGAGAATGAGGTCTTCAAAAATCCCGAGCATTTACACAGAATGTAAGTGAGGGAACCGGGGAATTTGTGAAGATCACTCCTGGGAGGATTAAGTAGAAATCTGGAGAAAATGTTATGGAAAGAAGCAGCCGGTGGATGTCTGTGACACAGGCAGTGTGGTCAGCTGCGTGCTCCACCTCAGCCTCAGAAGGACAGCTGAGGTGAACCTTGGAAGTCAGCAAACAAGAAAATAACATTCGACTCTCCTTGTGTTTCGTATACTGGGAGGTGGGAAAATGTCTGACACCTCTTTCTTTTTTACTGGCTAAACACAAATAAGCCATAAATGATGATTATGGTGAATGCTTTCTTTACCATGTGTAAAAAGACTTTTCAGCTTAACATAGTAAAATAAGAAAAGAAAGGCAGTGCTAAGGGCCAACAAGAGTTTGTGGGGAGAGAAGCAGGTATACATGATCCTAGGGATTTACTTGATCACTGTACCTTTCACTACTCACAGAAATGTAAATTTGGGGTTCAAGGTCATACCCAAAGTTGGCCTGCCACACTTAGAAGGAGATATGTTTTTTCATTCCTGTAAAGATGTCTCAGATGTGTGAGCTGGCTACTTCCTGCCTTAACTCCGAAGAAAGTGGCTGACACACAAAAACCATTCCTTAGTGGTTTTAATAAACGTTCTATTCTCCCCTCCCCCCCCACACACACAATGAGAACTGGTTACCTCTCCAAATTCCACTTTAAGCATCTTTGAGAAAACAGAACTTGGCCTTCTGTCCGTGTGAATGCCTCCAAATGTTAGAGGGTCTCTGAAGGCTCCAGTCCGCATCATCTGTCAGTGTCTTGGAAAAGGATATTGTTACATTGATCTTTCCGGAATCCCAGAGGACACAGGAAAGATGTGTTGAGATTCGAGGATTGAAGGCAGTGAGCGCCAGGAGTTTTCTTCTGCCATCTGCACCTCCGTGGGGATGTGAGGAGACTTGCCAGAGTTCCAAGTTAGGACATCTGGACCCGGCCACTGATTCTGTAGCTGGCTAGAATATGTGGCCATTTTTTTTTTTTGTTTGTTTCTTATCTGTAAAATGGGAACAAATGAAGCCTGTTGCTTGCTGGGCACTCCCAGTGGACGAGGGTGGACTAAAAGCTATTTTCAGACCCTGAGTCATAAAAGGAGGTCAGACATTTCAACTAATAATGTGCGCCCTTGAAATAAAAAGGGCAAAATCTTCTGAACTGAATACCTTTCGAATGTGCAGTTTCTTTGGGTTGCTGTAGGAGTTAAAAGTGCACAACACTTGTTTCATTTTTACTTTGATGTCTGCATTATTTGCTTACTCACTCATGCCTGTCCCCCGACCGAGTCTGACCTTGAAGAGTTTTGGTACAATGTTCCCCCAATGTCCTCAAGGTAGGAAGAGTGTTGAATGATTGACAGGAGTTTTGAAGGCTTCTTTCAGCAGCTGTCTCTAAAAGATTCTCTTTCCCCATGAGTTGGGAGAATTCCTTTCCTGGGGAGACATGAGCAAGGCCTACCTCTCATCATAAGGCCTCAAGGGAAAAACAAGCTAGATTTCACCCCCAGAGTTCAGCTTGGGGAGATAAGGAGTTTATTGGGCTTACTTACATGGTGTAGGTGAGGGGGTTACTGGCAGGAATGCGACCGACCTCAAAGCAGCCATTTTAGAAAGTCTTCACACAACTGGGATGATGGAGCCCCTCTCAATTTCCCCCAGCCCACAGACTCTAGCACTTCCCATGGCCAAGCGCCGTTAGGCGGAATTGGGTAAAACGACTTGGGATGAGCAACTAGCATCTCATGTGAGGTGGCACTTCCTAGTCTCTCTTCCATCGAGGGAATGCCAGCAGCCCACAGGCCCACTCCTGATGGCCTCTTGAAAGTAGACACAGCCGCTCTGCTCACCTTGGGACTGTTTTCCTGGAGGACCTCATTCTACAATGCCACCCCTCCAAAGCCCCAGTGCTATTCCTCTCCCTCTCCGGAGGACCCCAGCGCACAGGCTAGGGCAGGGTAGCTGCTTTCAGACTGGCCTTAGAGCTCACGCGGATCTCCAGAACAGCAGAGGGGAGAGAAGTTAGAGGTGAACTTGCTGTTTTCTGCTCCCTACAGACAGCCCCTGACAAGTCAATTGATTCTTTGTTCTTCCCTGTTGGCTTTCTGTGTGAGGTAGAATTAGGGCCTTTTCCTGTGAAGCAACCGGCCAAGGTTAAACTATTTCAGCAATGCTGTCCTTTTTGCAGAACCTGGTGTGCACAATTCCCCCCCCCCCCACACACACACCCGGTTTCCATCCCAGTCAACAGCCTGCTCCAACCACACTCCTTGCAGAATACCTGAACCGCTCACCCAAGCTGTCTGAAGCAGCCAAACCAATGTGCGCGCTCACCTTCTTCCAAGTTTGCCCGGCTCAAGGAAGCCATCTGCCTTATAGATCTGTGTCCAGATCCCTCCCGCCCTCATGGTGAACCTGCTCAAAGATGCAGGACTTCGCGGTGCCCTCGGAGGCCCTAAGTGGAGCCACTCAGTGTCTCAGAGGGCTGCTTTCCGGTGAATGCAAAGCCTCGGGAGACCGGCTGCGGGGACCGGGCGAGGCGAGGACAGCAGGAGCCCCAGGGCACGAGGGCGGGAAACAGTACATTTTCGGGAGCCTGGGCTCGCGTGCACACCTGTGAGGCGTGCCCTCGCTTTCACTGTGCGGGAGGGGTGCACATACAGCACTGCCACGCGCTTGCCCGTCCCGGTAGCCCTGGCCGTCTACTTCGCAACCTTGCGCGCCGGGCGGCCCCTGCGCGGGCGCGGTGGCCGAGGGAGGTGGGGCCGGGGGAGGAGATCTGCGGGCGGGAGGGCGGAGAGGGCGGGAGGGGAGGATCCCGGGCAGCCGGGGCTATTTGACAGCAGCCGGGGCAACCGCAGAGCTCGGGGAGCGCCGGCCGGAGCGCAGCTGGAGCGGCCGTGCGGTGTCCAGGCAGCGGCCGCAGGACGGCGGAGCAGTCCCAGCCAGCCGGCACCAGCGCGCGCGCGCTCGCTCCCTCGCTCGCTCGCTCGCTCGCTCACCGGATCCCCGACGCGCGCCAGGGCGCAGCAGCGCGCGGAGCGCCTGCCTCCCCGGGTCCCCCTGCAGCGTCACCATGCTGCCGCCACGGCTGTGCTGGCTGCCGCTGCTCGCCGCGCTGCTGCCGCCGGCGCCCGCGCAGAAGTTCTCGGCGCTCACGGTGAGTACCCCGGCGTGTCCCCGACTTTCCTCCGGCGTCCCTCGCTCGGAACCCACGCTCCCCCCTCCCCGGAACAAGGTTCCAGGAGCAGGTGGCCCGGCGAGCTCCGACAGGTGGGTCGGGGACAGTAGAGAGGTGTGGTCTGAGGGTCCAGGGTCGGTAGATGCTCGGATGTGAAGGGCTCTGCGGTTCCTACCAGCCTAGGATGGAAGGGAGTTAGCACGCGGGCATGCCCGGAGTCCTCCACTGTGGATGGGAAAGGGCGACACAGGAACAAGGATCTGGGCTACCGATGGCCCTCAGCTGTCTCAGGGCGAACTCGCTGGACTGCGCGCCCACCGTGCCAGCGCTGACCCAGCCTAGCGTTAGGGAGTGGGCAGTCTTCAGCTCGGGTGCCAAGAGGACCCGCTGTTCTCCCTTTTTTGGGGGGAATGGGCGGTAGCCCATGGGCTCCACTTGTGGCGGAGCGAAGCAGAGAACCTTAATTGAGCCCAAGAAGCAGCAGCAGCAGCAGCAGCGGCGGCGGCGGCGGCGGCAGATATGATATTGAGCACTTTTTGTTATTGTTGTTGAAGAACTCACAGAGGAGGAATGATCTGAGGCACAGGAGGCACAGAGGAGCGTCCCTGGTCTCCTGGGTCCTCTCCTCTGGGACAGGATGCTGTGTGCGCCAGGGCGCGCTCCCGAGCGCCTGTGGCACTGCAGTTGACCGCTCAAAGTTTGTCTCCTAGTTGCTGTACTGGCTATGCCAAGGCGAGGTGAGGTGCCAGAAGCCGTGCGGTGGATGGGGGCTGAGTGTGTACACCTCAGGCCAGCACAACCGCGGCCACTGCGCCAGGCCCGTGTGTGCAGAGCCCAGCGGGCAGCCCTTATGCGGACGGCGCGCTAGGGAGCCCATAATTAATGCAATCTGCAGAAATGAAAGCATTCCACTTAAATATGTTTTTGAACAAGTGCTCGAGGAAACAGTAAGGTGGTGAGCAAGCCCCGGTGGAGAGAGGAGGGTTGCAGGTCAGCGTCCTGGGGAGGGGGCTCATCCTGCGAAAAAAACAAACAAAACAGGGCTGCAAAACTGAGGCAAGCTGGCCAGTCTGCGGCCTTTTCTTTCCCTTTCTTTCTCTGTTTTTTTCAGCAGCTTGAAGGGGGAAGATTGAGTGAGTTCATTGTTCATACCTAAAATTCTTCTGGGGCAGTCCTAGGGCCCTGCCTTGTGTCTCATGAGTGACTGATAGATTAGAACCATAGCTGGAAGCGGGAGGGAGTTTTCACGCACTCAATCTTGCCTTACCCAAAGGAGCCTGAAGGACTACATGTATGCATTCATATAAGGATGTGTGCATGTGTGGACAGATGTGCACGTATGTCCAGAGTTCGCCCGCATACTTCTAATACATTAAAGTCCGCAGGAAAACAGGCCAGTTTTCAAGGGGAGATCTTAGCACCATCTATCTAAGCTCTAAGCTGCAGCCTACTGCAGTCACCATGCATTTGCTAAAAGTACCAAAATAGACTTGTCTCTCCCCCCCCCATGCTGAGTTGTGCTGTCTCTCCGTCTTTCTGTCTGTCTGTCTCTGTCTCTGACTTTGTCTCTCTCTCTCTGCATAGGATGTGTGTGTCTGTGTGTCTGTGTGTGTGAAGATACATTGGTAATCAGGACAGTTTAAAACTCTTAAGATTTTTCTTCTTTTGTCCCACCCCTTCTGGAAGCATCTTGCTTTCAAGCTCTCACTCTTTGTCTCCTGTTGCAAGGTTTTCATGGGCTCTATGGGTGCCAGATGCTTGTGGGGTCCCTTCGCTGAAGCTGGGAGTTGGTCTTACACCATACAGGAAGTGCCCCATTTACCACACTCCCCAAGAACACTTTGTCTTAAAATCACATAAAATGCTGTTTCTTTTGCATCCAGGAGAAATATTTAAAGCTATTAACTATTTGTCATGACTCTTCTCCCCTCACTCCCAATCTAGAAAATTATGGTTGCAATAGAAAGTACTTAAGATGTAATTGAAGTTTATGCTGTTAATCTCTGGGAAATGCTAGATGTTCTGGATTTTTCTGTGGTGCTAATCTCTTTTCAAGTTAACTTCTGTTAGTTGAAGAAGTTGTTGGGTTCCTGAAGACTAACCTAAAGAATGGCCTCCTCTGTGCAAAGTTTACATTCTGCCTTTAGTAAACAACAGATGTGTTAGTCTGTAGGGGTGCGTGAGACTCAGTTCTTTTTTTTTTAACTTTTAACTTTATTTATTTAGTCGTTCACTTTACACCCCACTCACAGTCCCCCTCCTCCCCCCTCTCCTCCCTCTTCCCCCCTCTCCATTCCTTTAGCCCTCAGGAAAGACTCCCCACCAACCCTCCCCAGCACTGCAAGTCGCATCAGGACTGAGCACATCCTCTTCCACAGTGGCCTGGCGAGGCAGCCCTACCAGGGAGAAGTAATTGAAAAGCATGCAACAGAGTCCATGTCAGTAACAGCCCCCACTCCCCTTACTAAGGAACCTACAAGTAGACCAAATTGCCCATCATTTGGGACTCAGTTCTTAAGTGTGTATGGTACTCAATTAATCAAAGCACATAGGACTCTCTGTCCTGACAGTGTGTAGAACTCATAGTCATTCATGGTGATGTGTGGGGGACGGGTCCTTTCTTGATGGGTGTATGATCTTATGGTCTTACCTATAGAATGGGGGTGAAGACTACCTAGTATGACCTGAGGGTTAAAGCTAACATTTGATGCACCCATGCCATGCTCATCCCCCAATCCAGATTATGCTGTTGGCCCATGGAAACGAGTTTTAGAAATGATAGCCACCAGCTTACACCCTGTCACGTCTTTAAGGGGTGTTTGGGTATTAGGACTGTTGGAGCAGATTTCTTGCTTGGCTTAGTTGAGACAAATCATGTGGGCTGTCCAAGCAGATGGGAAGACCATGTTCTCTGCCTCCTTTTGTCATGTCCATTTCTTCTAGAAAGGGGTAAACTGATTCACCTCATGGGGAGGAAGTGTGCACGTACAGACCCAGCCTCTGGATTTTGCCACCCTTTGCATGGCCTGGTTGTTCACAGATGTTGGAAGTCTTTCCAGTAAGCAGCGGGCATTTTGCTATGTGCTTTGTGTTCTTCAACTTGGGTCTTTGAAAGGAAGGAGAGTGATGGGAAGACAACATTTTGCATGTGTGGATTCAGAAGAGCATCACTGATGATTAGTCCATGATACAATCTACTGTTGATCGTCCTGTTCCCTCCTGCACTTGAATGATGGTGGAGTAGAGTGTATGGGCCATGCTGCTGTGACACTGTGTCCCTCAGTCTGGATAGTCAATAAAGTGATCACATTTCTTCTGGCCACACATTTCGACTATCTCTGACACTCTGACGCTCTGAGAAGGCGTCTGTTCCTCAGAGAAGATAGATGACAGAATCCGAAGATGATGAAGGACGAGGATATTAAAGACAATGTTTCCTACTGAAAACTCATCTATATGATGTCTAAACCCAGATATTTAGCTCTGATTTGAAATGAAGATCTTGAATAAATTCAAGCTTGATTAAGCCTGGTTACCAAGGCTCAGAGGTTTAAGGGATCTTATATTCCATGTACCCTTGTGACCAGCCAGAACTATAGAATGGTGAGGCCATAAAGACTGGCTGTGGCTTGTGGGGTTGGAAGTGAAATGCAATGTTTACTGGTTGGGTTAAAAAATATACTAAAAGACATATGATTCTATACATACAAGCACAGACTTACAATGAGGAAATTCCATTAGTATTTTAAAGTTAGAGAAGAAAATTGAAGAGATAATTTCTCTTTGTGGATGAGTTCCTTTACAGAAGATGAAATGGCCACCTCTGTGTGGGGTCAGGTAGGGAGAAGTGGTCTGTCACTAATTGTGTGTCTTCAGACTTTGGATGTCCGTGCACATATGAAGTATTAGGCCCTATAAAATATCCCACATGAGGGAACGTTTCAGAATATGAGTCAATGTTTCATTGACTTCTAATTTCACCTGGACGAAAACCAGATTACTCCAAGTGAGAATCATGGCTACATTTTTCTGTGGTTTTATAGTCCCAGGCTGAAAATCAAAAAGCAAAGATTGTAATTCAACACAAATAAATAGCATGGAGTAAAATGTCAGCTCACATTTATATTTTAGATTTAAAAAGGAATTGTAGATGGGAATTTTATACTACAGTATCTGGCCAAATAAACTAGATTTTCAACACTAAGACAGTCACAGGATGACCTCACTGTGATGAAACACGAATATATTCATATTTTTTATTGTGTTGAACACAGTGTGGCTTACAGTAATACTGCATAGGGTACATGCAGATGCAAGCTCTCTCTCTCTCTCCCTGATAAATTCATCCCTTTCTTTTTGCTCTTGGCTTCATGTTCTCCCTCCATTCTCCTCTTGCCACACTTACATTTGAGGTCTTTTGATTCTCCTCTCACCAACCCGTAGTCATTCTGTTACTTTTTCCTCACTGCCCCTCACTGAAGGGAGTTCTCAGTTCATTTCTGTACTTCACAGCCTCAGTCCTATGTCCCTGAGCTGGTGTCGGTGGACTGGGAGCCTCTCAGCAGGGTGGGATACCAAGCTCCTCTCATCCCCAGGACCTGACACTGACAGGGAAGATTCTTGTCATTGTTAGGAACGACCTCTAAAAACAGGGAGGATTCTGGAGGGCTGGTGGAGGTGGAGGTCACTCAGAAGTCCAAACATGATAGTGAGTGCCTCTCCACTAGGGCAATTTTGTGCCTGTTCTGGAGTTATGAGTATAGTCACTGGTTAGGACACAAGTCTGTAAGCTTGTTGGCAACAACCAAGAATGCAACTGGCACATGAAAGATTCCCCTGCAGATTTGGGGATTTTATCTTTAAGATCCAGTATTCAAGGCAATAGCAACAAGGAATCCACTTGGAGCTCCAGATGGATTCTTGAGTTTAAGACAATTGTAAGATGTTTCAGGACATTGCTTGTTCTGGTCAGATCATAT